AAAAGCCCCCAGGCCTTTGTTCAAGGTTGCTTTCACGACTGTGTCACCTCCTCCAGGAAGCCTTCCCAGGCTCCCTTCCCCAAGCAGCATTCACAAATCCCCTTAGGACTCTCCTGTGTGCCCCAGAAAGATTTCTCTCCTCCCCCGACCAGAACCACCCGAGGCAGGGACACAGTCTCAGCACACCCTTTTATGGGCCTGCTAGATCATGGATGGCAGCCTCACTGCCTGTACACCTCCTGTTATGGAGAGCTCATTACTGCCCAGGAGACAGCTCTAACTACAAATTAACCACCATAATTTGAGCCAAAAAGAGTCTTTGTTCAGCCTGCCAGGGCCCAGGCCCACCCGCTCCCTCCACTTGCCGTGGGCTTCCCGGAACAGTGTGATGGGTAGACAACACAGCCTCAGTTCCCCTCCTCGGAATCCGTTCAGGTTCTCGGCATCTCGGCCTCCCTGCCTCTGTCTCAGTAACTGCTTCTCTCCATTTTTTAATTTTCATTTTTTTATGTTTTTATTGATTTTTTTGAGAGAGAGAGGAAAGGAGAAAGAGAGACAGAAACATCGATGAGAGAGAAACATCATCGATTGGCTGCCTCCTGCACGCCCCCTACTGGGGATTGAGCCCCAAACCCAGGCATGTGCCCTGACCGGAATCGAACCATGACCTCTTGGTTCCTGGGTTGGCACTCAACCACTGAGCCACACCGGCAGAGCTCTCTCTCCATTTTTAAGTCTCAAAGACTCTTCATCTGAGTGGTTGTGCACCAATGTCTGTCTCTCTGTCCAGTTCTGTCTCTGTGGCTGCTTATCCCCCACCTGGGCTGTGCCGCTGTCTCTGGTGTCCAGGAGTCTGGCATTTCTCCTATGCTCCCCTCGGTCCCCCTGCAACACCCACAGGACCAGACATTCTGATAGGCAGGGGCCTTGGAAAGAGGTCTCTGTGTGTGTGGGTGGGGGGGGGAGTGTAATTAAAGAAAGGCGTCCTTCCTTAGGTAAGAGAAATTGTTGAAGCTCTGTGTAACGCCTTTGGAAGGGTTCCCCCCCCCGCCCCCTGCTTCATGGAACAGCTGGGAAATTGAGGACTGAGAGTAAGACCAAATCCAGGCTGGTTTCAGTCTGCAGCTTAGTGGTCAGTGCAGCTGTAGGCAGTGGCCAGACGAGGGCGCCAGAGACAGCAGGAGTCGCAGCCCAAGCTGCAGCGCAAGGCTGGACTGGAGGGTGCCGCTGAGGAGTGTTGGAGGGGCCCTGCCTTCCTTGCTCTGCTCTGTGACTTGCGAAGGTTTCCCTTCCAGGATATCAAGGCCGACTCTGGAGCCACACACTTGGATTCAAATCCTGGTTCAACCTCTTTCTTAGGGGTGAGATCCAACTGAAATCACTCAGTGTCTCTGAGCCTCGCTGATGCTGAGGAGGCCACATTTATTTGGAAACTGAGTAGACTGTCTTGGGAGGGAGGAAGGGGAGGAAGGAGGTAGTGAGGTCCCCGTCACTGGAGGTATGTGTTCAGATCTGAATGGCGGCTTGGGGCATATGCTGTAGTGGGGGTGGGGTAGGAGGACTGTCCCTTTCTCTCTGACTGTCTGTGACCAACACGCAAGAGGGCCCGGGAGCTGCTCCCAGTGTCGATCTGAAAGCAGATAAAAGGAGCCATAAAGGCCACAGTGAAGATAACATTCTCTCAGCCTCTTTGGGCAAGGGGTGGGTGAGGAAACTCTTTCTTCCCTGGAGGGTCAGAAGTCGGCTAATGGTGGATTTTTAGGCCCTTGTTGTGCCAGGCAGCACACCATCAGTGCCCCATTAGAAAGGGGCCCTTGTAAGGTGGGGAAGGAGAAGGCAGAGCCGAGGCCCAGGGATCAGGAGGCCTCAGCTCTAATAGGGACTCGCAGCTGACTTGCCTGTGACCAGGAAACCCCACTGCTCCTCTCTGAGCCTCAGTTTCCCTCACAAGCTCAAATGACGTTGCAGATGTCAAAATGGTTTGTGAACAGGAGAGAGGAAGAGCCGTGAGGTGTCATTCACCCAGCCCTGGCTCCTCTGGACCAGCTCCCATGCCTCAGGGGCCAGGTGGGGCAGAGGGAAGGCTGCTAGGGTGCCAGAGGCCCTGGAGGAACCAGGACTCTGTTAAGCTGCCTGGGCTCCAGTCAGCAGTCCTGGTTTGACCCCACTGCAAAAATGGGGACACAGAGACCAGGGGCAGGGCCCTCAGGATCACACAGCAAAGTCAAGTAGGGGTTGCCAGGCACTCCCAGACTCCCTAGAAGGGGCTGAGCTCCCTTCAGTGGCCCTGGGGCCTTCAGGAGCCCTCTGAAGAGCTACTATGAGTGGACATGATGCCCCCCACACAGGGGCACATGCTTCAGGCACCTAGCCACCTCAGCCACAGGGCTCGCAAAGGTAGGCACCAGCCCAGGGACACACTCAGCAGCCACACCCATTGAGCACACACCCAGACACATGAGGGTGCATGTACCCACACAGAGCTCTGGGTACAACACACATGCATACACACACACACACACACACACACACACATTTGCTTACACACAAACGTGTGCAAGCCCCTGCCAGGCCAGCCTCAGCGTCCAAGACAGCCAGACTGATTTCAGGAGGATGGCCTTTGCACCGTCCCCAGAACATTCAGACTTCAGGGGAGTCCCACCTTGCTTCTGGCATTGTACATTGTCCCATTGTACTCCTGGGACAATGGGACAGGTCCCAAGATGCCCAGAAAGGAGCTATCATCCCTGAGACCAGAATGACCTCCAACCTTTGCCTGATATGACCTCATTAAGGTGCCAGGTGTTCCAAATGTGAAGGTTTCCCTGCTCTGGGGCGGGGCTCGAATATCCCGGATGCCTCTCATTCAGGCAGGGCTGGTGAGAGCTGGGCCTGTCAGGTGGGGTGTGGCCTCCGTCTCTTAAGATGGCCTGGCTTGGCTGGGAGGTCAGAGGTAGAGGGACCCTGGCCGTGGCTCACTGGGCCCTGGCCTCCGAAGCCACTCCCCAGTTGGGGAAACCATTCCTAGTGAGTCAGTTTCTCAGAACCCAGCGGCTTTGCCTCATGTTTACAAGGTGACCCAGCATGGGGTCTCCCCTCTGTGCTTCAGTGTCCCCATCTTGACAGTGAGTTAGCAGGCTCCCCTTCCTTCTCAACAGCACCAAGGTCTGTCAGGAGGGATGACAACCAATGGAAAGAAAGAGGGGCTCCTCGGGGTCCTGGGGGGCATCCCGGAGCCTAGAGGTCAGGCTCAGGTATAAGAGGGCAGCAGGGAGGGGCCCACACTCACCCGACGACGTAGACCAGAACCACCAGCTGGATCAGGCGAAAGATGATGCCCACCTTCTTGTTGCGCACGAGCACCATTCGGGGAGTGTCGTACTCAAAGAAGAAGGCCGCCAGCTCATCCTGCACCCGCCGCGCCATGGCGGCCCCGCTCAGGCTGAGGGCAGTGCCCGCACAGCCTGCGCAAGCGCCCACGTCTATGGCAGAGTTTCTGAGGGCTTCCCAGCCCCTTACAAAGGGCAGGGCAGGGAGTTGGGGCCGGAGGTTAGGAGTCAGAGGTCAGTTGGATGCCCTTGGGTTGGGAGGGAGAATCCTTAGGTGATCAGAGCAGCTTTTGGTCCCTGGCAGGCAATGGACTGTGGGACAGCCGAGCCCGTGGACAAATAAATTCCCAAAGATGGATGGGGGCGGAGCTGCTAGGGTCACCCAGGCTCCAGCTGCCCCTCCTGGCTCCGCCTGCGCCCTGCTGGGCCTCAGGAAACAGAAGCTGCTGGCAGGAAACCACGGGCCACCCATCACAAGGCAAAGATAAAGCTGTCAGCCCCCCGCAAACCTGGCAGAACAGGACTGGGGGCTCGGGCCAGGGCTTGGGTGGAGTGGCTGCAGGCCAGAGCCCTCCCCAAACTAGGGACCCATCCCCATATCCAAACATCCTCCCCACCCTACCTCTTCCCCCATGGGGGGGGCAGGGAGAGGTCAGCCCCTGGGGGCCTACGTCCAGGAGGGCAGAAGAGGAGGGAGGGCCACTTCCAGTCCAGCTGCCTGACACGGCCTGAGCCCATGTCAGGGTCCCCAAGCCCTGTCCCTGTAGGCCACCTCCACCCCCCATCCCTCTGAGTCCAAGTCTGGCCTGTGCCCAATCAACATTCCCCTCCCCGAAAGGAGCAGAGGGAGGCAGGCACCCAGACAAGGCAAGGGCCACATCTGTTGCGTATCACCATCAGGCTCTGGAGACCTCGCCAGGAAAGTCCAACATCAAACCGTCAGACCAGCCTCGGTTACCACCCCGGCTCTGCCAGTTGCTGCCGTGGGGGCTGGGGTAAGTTGCCTGTCCTCTCAGCATCTGCTTCCTTATCTGAGAAATGGAGCTGATAATGGGATTTCCCCCCGGGATGCGTTCTGATGAGTTCAGAGAACTTGAGGCCACTGTTGAGCTTGGGGTACAGCCCCTCTGCAGCTCCTGCCCTCAACCCCAACCCAGGCCATGAAGGCAGGGGCCCCCTGGGTTGGGATGGGGTGGGGGTCCCTGTTAGCTCTCAGAGCCGGTAGAGCTGGAGGCCTTCCTCAACTTCCACCTCTTTTTGCACGTGAAGAAAGTGGAGCTTCCCTGGTCGGTGTGGCTCAGTTGGATGTCCTGGGGTCTGAAAAGTTGCTAGTTTGATTCCCGATCAGGGAACATGGCCGGGTTGTGGGCTTGGGCCCTGGTAGGGGATGTGCAGGAGGCAGGCAATCGATGTTCCGCTCTGATATTGATGTTTTTCCCTCTCTCTCCCCCTCCCTTCCTCTCCCTCTAAAAATCAATTAAAAATATCTTAAAAAAAAAAAGTGGAGCTCGGGCCCTGGTCTGTCACTCAGTTGTTTAGAACATCTTCCCGATATACCAAGTTTGCGGGTTTGATCTCCAGTCAGGGCACATACGGGGACACAAATAATGAATGCATAAATAGGTGGAACAACAAATCAGTCCTCCTCTCTCTCTCCCTTCCTCTCTCTCTCTCAAATCAATAAATAAAAATTTTTAAGAAAAAAGAGAGAAACGGTCCCTCAGAGAGGAGAAATGAGTTTCTCAAGCTCACCCTGGGCTATACAGAAGGACCCGGCTGGAAGCAAGAAAGCCTCCCTGGCCAGCCCTCAACCCAGGCTGAGTGTCCTCAGGGCTCCCTCTGGATGGGAGGTGAGGCTGGGTGTCCTCACAGCCCCTACCTCCCCCAAGTCCAAGCTGCCTCACCCTGAAGGCTGATAGGAGTCTTCTTCCTGGCAGGCCGTTAGCTGGGAAATTGCTCTGGGCAGGGAGCCAGGCCCCGGGCTGTGAACCCCAGCTGCCTGTCTGAGCAGAGTCACTTTATGAACAGCAAGGGGCCCCAGAGAAGGCAGGCCCACGGCCCTATCCATACCCTAGGTCAGTTCCCCGTCAAACGGATCAGCCTCACCCCACCCAGAGTTCCTGCCAATCTCAAGCTCAACCGTCTGTCCGACGCCACCTTCAAGGGGCCAGTGAGAACCACATCCTGGGCTTTGCTAAGGAAAAATCCAGAGATTCTGGGAGCCAGAGCTGTGGTGGTCAGGCTCCCTTGGCCCTGCCTTGACCCCGGATAAAAGAGTCTGTCATCTTCCCAGCTGGTCCTGTGGCACTTGGAATAGCAGGCTCAAGACACGGATTACTTGCAGTGGAGAGTGGGGTGGGATGCTGACACTGTGTCTAAGCCATCTCTGTGTCCCATCTCTGTGTCCCACTCCACATACACATCCCTACAGACATACCACACTCAGGAGGGGAGCAGGCGCTAAATAAGGGGGGAAAGGGAAGCGGGAGGGAGAGGGAGGGAAGGAAGTCAGGCAGTCGTCCTCCAATCTGTGTCTATCCCTTTCATACCATTACCATCTTCTCCTCCTGCCCCCCCGCCCCCCTCCTCTTCCAAGGATCCAGGCTTGCTGATGGGCAGATGAACAAATGGACTGATGGCCTCCCCTGCCTGGCTAAATTTAGCAGCTCTGTTGAGTGTGGAGGGGCTCTGTGCCCTTCCTGGAGGCCAGCCCGGACCCTCAAGGGATGCACACAGGCTCCAGTGGGTCCCCTTAGCCCCTCACACAGGAATTTGCTGGGGTACACACATGTGCTTCTGCTATAGCCTCGGTTCTGACCCTAACACTCAGAAAACAGACTGGCAAGGGGGCTCTCATTCAGGGTTGTTACCACATCCAAAGCATGCCTGAAAGAAAAGGAAACAAAAGCATTTTTCTGTCCCCAAATTAATTTTGTTGCTAATAACTCCCCAAGAGTAACGGATAAGGTCAATGTCTCTTTCACTGGTTCTAAGATGCATCTTCCCATCTGAGGCCTGTGCTTTCCTGCCTCCGACCCCAGCTCCAGCATCCCAGGGACAGACACCTGTGTTTATTCTAGGCACTGGGAGGGGGGAGCAGAGGTGGACAGGGCAGGGGTTAGAGTTTTATAGGGACACAGTCCTTCACACTCAATAGGTTTTTTAAAAACAGCCCTGTGAGGTAGGTACTGGAATCCTCCTTTTATAGGTAAGGAAACTGAGCCTCTGCAAGTTGAATACCTTGCCCAAGATCACACAGCAAGAAGCTCCCATGTCTGCTGGTTGCCAGGAAGGAGGCTCCCCAAAGTCTGAGAGCTTGGCCCAAAGCCCACCCCAAGACTCCAGCACTTGGGAGTCTGCAGACCAGCCTTATAAGCCCAAAGGCCGGATGGCCAGCTTGGGTCTTGGCCAGGCCTTGTAGGGAGACAAGGCTGTGCTGCCAAGCGCTCGGCCCCAGGACAGCCTCCCCTGTCTGGCTAAATTTAGCGGCCCTATGGAGAGTGGATGGGCCCCGTGTGCCCATCCTGGAGGCCAGCCCAGGGCCCTTGGGGGGTCAGCACGGGCTCCAATGGGTCTCCTTAGCCACTGAGAGTTCCAAGGTTGCAGGGGTCACACCTCTGCTCGCAGAATTCAGTGCAACCCCCCACACCATCTGGGCCTCCCTTGGTGTCCCAGATGGTCACTCAATGCCACAGCCCCTCAGATGCTGGCTGGAACAGGGCCCTGAGGCGGCTGGACAGAAACTGTCTAGGGGAATTTGGGGCACAGGCATCTGTGGTATGGCTGCAGTGGGGGTCCCCAAGGTTGACTTCTCCACATTGCTCAGACCTTGTGCTGCTTTTCTGGCTTCCTTTATCCCCCTGCTACGAGCCAGGACCTGCTGGAACTTTTGAGACTCCAAGGCCTCATCCCCCTCTGTTCTGTTCCTCCTTTGGGGCTATTTCCTCTTGGTCCCCAGCCTCTTCCTGCCCCTGGAAAATGGGGTTCCTCCCTGCCCCTCAAACACTGAGCACCCCTGGGGAGGCTGGTGTCCTCCCCGTCTACTGAGGACGCTGACACCTCTGCACCCACGCAGCAGCCGTGTGCCTCCCTCACCTATTTTTTCTTCTACACCAGACTGTACTGAGGGACACTTAACATCCAGTTAAAATGTATGCATTGCAGGCACAGTTTGATGAGTTCTGACCAATGCAGGTAACCCCTCCCCAGTCCATCACCCCAGGACGTTCCCTCCTGCCCCCAGCGCCTGGTGATCTGCTCGGGCGCTACAGATTTGTGTTGCCTTTTCTGGAACTTCATGGAGGAACCGCACTGTTTTCGCTCTCCGCGTCTGGTTTCTTTTACTCAGCACCAGGGATGGAAGCATCATGCACGCTGCTGCATATATGGGCATGTTCCTTTTTATTGCCGAGAAGTATTCCACTGTGTGGACATACCGCACCGTTTGTCCTTCCCGTGTTGACGGGCACTTGGGTTGTTTCCAGTTGGGGGCTCTGATGAATAAAGCTGCTGTGGACACCTGGGGTCAGGTCTTGTATAGGCGGATGTCTTCATTTTCTGTTTTTGACCCTCCCTTTCCCCCAATGCAGCCCCGACTAGGTCGCTCCTACCCCCGCGAGGGGCACAGCCCGGGGCAGTGGGCAGCCCGAAGTCCAGGCGGCCGACGAGGGTAGGGGGAGGCCGCGAGCGCTTTGGCAGCTGCCACTCGAGCCGGCGGGAAGCGTGCCGGGGCTTGCCCTGGAATTCCCTCCTGCCCCGGCGAGCGGCGGTGAGGTGGGAAACCTCTGTTTACCTTGGCTGCTCCATCTTGGCCTGTCAGGCTCTATGCTGCTGGACAAGGCCAGGCTCCGGCAGGCCTGGCCATGAGCCTCAGCGGCGGCTGAGAGCACCGGAGCTTAGGGGGCTTCAGGCTCCTTGTCTGTAAGAGGAGCCCTAACTGCCAAGCTGGTGTGGCTCAGTGGTTGAGCATCAACCTAGGAACCAAGAGGTCATGGTTTGATTCCTGGTCAGGGCACATGCCCGGGGTTGTGGGCTTGATCTCCAGTAGGCGGCCTATAAGAGGCAGCCCATCCATGATGTCTCTCATCAATGTTTCTATTTCTCTATCCCTCTCCCTTCCTCTTAAAAATAAATCAATAAAAACATATAAAAGATTATTTTAAAAAAAGATGGGCCCTAAGCCCTGCCTGGCTCATCTCATGGAGCTGGTTGAGGATCCTGGAGATGATGGAAAGGTTTTTGTGGTCTGAGAGGTTTTCTAGATGGCCCTTCTGCCCTCCCCTGGTCCTATGTATTAAATCCTGCCCCCCCACCCCCACCCCAGCTAAACCCTGGGAGCTCCTGAGGGTGGGCCCTGTCTCCTGCAGTCACAGCTGGCTTCATGGATGTGTGACCCGTGCAGTGGCCTGGGGCCCCGTGTTCAGAAAGGCCCTGTGCTTGGTTTACTGCTCCGCTGTCAGTTATGAAATTCTTAAATTTTCAACGAGGGGCTCCACATTTTCATTCCCCACTGAGCCCCGCAAACGATGTGGTCAGTCCTGCCTCTGGTCCTGTGGGCAGCACCTGCATTCCCTTCCCAGGGCAGCTGAAGATGCAGAACCTACATTAGTGAGTCTCCCCTCTGGAGGGTAACAAGGGGAACAGCCTATTCCCTTTCCAGGGACCCTCCTCAGGGGGCAGGGCCACTGGGAGCATCAGTTCATCTCCAGGCAGTGTGAGCTGGGGGAAGTCCTGGGGAGGCATATTTGAGGTGGGCTGAGAAGGGAAAGAAGTGGATAGCATCTCAGGGTTTGAGGAGGGGAGGGAAACAGTGAGAGAAACTCAGGGAGACACAGAACCTACAGAACAGCCAAGCCTGGGGGCCCCAATAGGCTCCAGGCCCAGTGCCCCAGGCCAAGTTCTGAACCCCTCCCAGCCTCAGTTTCCTCAGTGGTGACATGTGAATTGTGATTTGTGTAAAGGGTTTTGGACACGTGCTCAAACTGTCAAGTGCTGTCCCTGGGAGGAGCAGGCACGGTCCCTCTTCCTCGTGTGGCCTGGAAGTCAGTGCCTCTCCTGAACCTGGTTTCAGAGGAAGACAAGGATCCCTGGCTGGCTGGCAATGTGGGAGCCCCAGTCCTTCACTCAGGTTTTCTGGGGTGGGGGACCCCAGGTAGGCACCGAGAGAGCAGATGGTGGGATCACGTCCAGGAACAAAGACACTGAGGGTCCTCCGGTGTTCTAGGCACTCAACCTTTATTTCTCTACCAAACTGCATGTCAGCAGTGGGTACAGGGTTCTGCCCTCACCCCCTCCCGTAAGATCTCCCTTCTCCCTAGCAGAAAAGCAGCAGACAATGTCTGCTGGCACCAGGGGGACCAGACGCAACTCTGCATCTCTCAGCCCCTCCAGAACCTGCGCGTGAGGGGAGGGGAGAGGTGGGGAAGGAGCCACAGAACCTGGAGCCCACTTGTCTGCAGGGTGGACCGAGGGGCTTAGATTCTGGGGACCAGGGTGGAAAAGTGAGTTTTGATTTACATATAAAATAATCACTATGTACACTCTGTACGAAGGGAGAGGACACAGTCATTTACTCACTGCTTTCTTCTACAACTAATTTTTGCCAAAGGGGCAAAAGCTGAGTTAAAAGAACATTTCTGTCAATCAGATGCTTTTCCTATCTTCTGACATGATCCACATGGACATGTGTTCCTCCAGCAAGACAGGAGGGAGGGAAAGTGCCCTTGTGTAACTAGCCACCCTAAGCAACATCCCTTCTGCTCACGATGTGTGGGGTTGGGGGCAAAGAGTGAGGCCAAGAGTCCAGAGACTGGGAGTCACCCAGCCGTGCAGATCATGAGATGCTGGGCATGGGCACAGTTGTCAGGGACCCAGGGATGTCTGGGGTTTCAGCTGCCAGGCACGCAGAGGGCAAATCCAGCCCCTGCTTGGTAGACAAGGCAGCACCAAGAGGACATGCGTCATCTGCTTAGGAGAACCCGAGTCCAGGAGTAAGCCAAGCAGAGGCAGGCAGGCTGGCTGTCTCCCAGGAAAGGAGAACCTTGCCTGGCCTCCTTCCCCCACTCCTGTCTCTCTCTGACCCTTCAACTCCCTGCACATATAAACAGAAATAGGCTTAAGCCCTCATGAGCCGACTTTGTGGAAGCAGAGCAGAGTGCGTGGGGGGTTGCCTGCCCTTGCTGCGCACAGCTGGGCCCAGATGTCCCCCTTCTACCCCCAGCTGACCAGGTCCCAGACCAGGCACCGAGCGAGAAGTCACAGCCCAAGAGAGTGGCCTCCAGGAGTCCTCTTTCAATACAGAGACGCTTGTCACCAAGGAAATGCCCAGCCTCCCGGCAAGGGAGAGCAGGCTCCAGAGGTGCTCCTGGAATTGGGGGTGCAGAGTTCTGCGTCTTGGGATGGGCCACCAGCTCTGGCTTCTGGGCAGGCCCCTCCCAGGCCAGAGCATTAGGGGCAAACTTCCAGGAGAGTCCTGGAGACGCGAAGTACAGAGCCCCCAGGCAGACGGAAGAGGGGACAACAACCGTGGGAACAGGACTGGGGGTGGCCATTCCAGCCTCATAGGGCTCAGCGAGCAAGCAGGCCAGCGTGGTGGCAGGGCGGGGAGTGGGGCAGATGCTTGGGCACCATCAGTCTGAGGTCCACGCTGGAGACTCCACTCTGCTCCCAGCACTCACTTCTGGTCTTTTTCTTCTGGAAGAAAAACTGGAGAACATGTTCGGATGTGTGATGAGAGTACACATCCAGGCTGGCTCCTCCTGGCCTTTCCACCCGCCGTTTCTCCCTCGACAGCCCCCTTCTCCCACAGCATCACTGTGGACCCCCAGCCCCTCTGCATCTCCTGAACTGCAGGCCATGTATCCAGTTGCTGCCTGAACACATTCCCTGGGACGTCCCCGGCCTCCTGCACTCCACGTGTCCCCTCAACCCCCCAGCCCGCCCGAACGCATTGTCTCTTCTTGTTTTTAGTTTTAAGAACCACAGTCCAGCATCATGAAGTCTAGGTACCATGGCATCCTTGACTCCTCCTCTACCCCGCAGACCCAGGCCTGTGGATTTCACCGCCCACATCTCACGAGCTCCTCTCTCTCAGCAGCCCCCAGGCCTCAAGGCCTCTCAGCCCTGCCCTCAGCCACCATCTCACCTCACCAACACATCCTGCCCCTGGCATCACACCACAAATCCAGCCCACCAGCCCCTTCGATGGGTCCCCACTGCCCTCAGAAAAAAGGGCCAGCCTGCCTCGGATCCTGGACCCTCCCAGATCTGTCCCCACTCAGCCTCTCCAGGCTTCCCTTCCCCTCAGCCCAGCCCATGGGCCTCTACCTGACAGTTGCTCAGCCATGCCTGGGGAGAGCCAGGGGGTGGGGCAAGAGGGTCCCCCCGACCCCTGGGGTTGACCCAGGGTCCACAGTTCTCCCCAGGAAAACATCCCTCATAAACCACGGGGAAGCCATGAGCATCAGGCCTCAGCAAAACTTCCCTAAAAGGCCACCAGACTGGCTTGGGAACGTAACAGGGTCCCTTCTCTCACCCCCGCCCCGTCGGCTTTAGGAGGCCCCAGGGACTGCAGCCGCACAAGGCAGAGCTGTCTGGGCTTCTAGCGACAGCAGGGCACCACCTTTTAAAGCCAAATCTCTCCGGGACCATGGTCAACATCTCAGGTTAATGGTGGAGGTAGAGCTGTTGCCTGGGACTAGCTCACCCTGGGCTTCAACTCAGTGTCTCCTCCCCTGACCAGCTCAACAGGGCTCACCAGCCTCCCTGCCTTTAGTCTCACCCCATCCCATCTGTCCTCTATCTTCATCCCAGTCCCTCCCATGCTTCCACCCTCTGTGGCTCCCATTGCCCTGAGGGTAACATCCAGGGTCCTTACCTTGGCATTTGAGGCCTTGACGCACCTCTGGACACACCTCTCTACCCTGCACTCCAAGCTCCAGCCCCACCACAGACGCCAAACCATACTCATCCAGCTGGCTCCAATTATTCCCAACCTGTCCCATCTTGCCAGGGGCCCTGCTCCCTCTGCCTGGGCCCAGAATCCTTCACTCCAACAGCCAGTGCTGGACAGTGCCCAAGACACAGACTTTTCCTATTGGCTGAGAAATTCCTCACCTTAAAGCTTTGTCAAGAAAATGTGCTGAACCCCTTGGCAGCTGTGGCCATTTGGGGAAGGCCTTTGAGGAAGACAGAGAAGCTGCCCAAGCCAGCCCCATCCCTATAAGGTATGGCTTCACAGGTGAGTCAGTGTGGTCAAGGTTGGCCGGAGGATTTCCTGGTGAACCACCCCTGTGCTCCGGCCAGAGCTGGGGATGCCTTGGGCTCCGGTGGATAGAGTTTCAGGCCACAAACCCATTTCCCTATCTTTACCTCCCCAGGTGTGTCCACAGAGAGCAGGCCACAAAGAACCACGCAAGGGGCAGAGAGGCTTGTACAGCTCCTCCTACCCCACCTGCCAGCTTCAACAGGAATGCTTTGTCTGAGTACCCACCTCCACCCTCATGCGCCCCCTCACCCCCCATGTGCCAGGTCGCCCTCTAGACAGATCTGTGATGGGTCAGCTTCTCAGAGAAAAGGACAACTTGTTTTGGCCTTTTTAATAAAATTAAATATTTGCAGTACCCAGGAGGCCTGGCCATCGTGGGAGATGGGGCGGCTTGAATGCCTTGGCTCCAGTGGAATGACAGGCACAGGATCTATTTATAGCCCTCAGGCACTCTCCCCTGGGGCAGGGACACATTCCTGCTAGAGGTGGTCCTCAGGGACCCAGCTGCCCCAGCTCAGGCCTCAGCCATGGCTAGGTCTAACTCAGGCCTCTGCAGCAGTCTGGCCAAGGGGCTAGTTCCTTGGCTCCAACTCCTAGGAACCAGGAATTTCTCTCCCCTGCTTCCTCCCTTTCCATGCTGCTCTGAGAGTAAGCTGATGCTGCAGGGAAGATCACCCACACTCTGAGGCCCTTGGGCAGAAGCAGGCAGGTGGGCGCCATGCCCCAGGCTACTCCTCTACACCTGCCCCCACCCTAACCCCTGATACCCTGTCCTCCATTCCTGGGTTAAGGTAGACCTAGAGCTGTGAATTCAGAAACAGAGAACCACCCCTCTACCCATCCACAAGGTGACACCAAAGAGGCCAATCCGGTGTGCTCTGGGGTCTGAGAGGTCAGCGGCTGCCCACTCTATGCCTGGGAGACTGTCCTGAGAATGCCTAAAGACAGGCTGAGTTCAGAGAAGTTACCAGCCAGGTCCCAGGGGAGGGCACAGCGAGCCTGGCCATGCAGGGTTGGTAGCAGTGAGGTGAGCAAGGCAGAGTGGCTCTGAGCAGTGCTCCCACTGGCTGTCTGGTGAGCCCAGGGCCCCAAACTCTGCAGACACCTTGGGTCACAGCCATCAGGGCCCTTTCATGTCCTCCACTTGATGACTCGAAAGCACCTGCCCCCACAGACACAGAGGCTGATGCTGGCCCTGGCTCCCTGCAGCCTGGAAGCAGAGGTGGGCAGGTTGGGAGGGGCTGGGGCCTCCCACTTACCATCCACGTGGTTCCGGGACAGGTACTTGAGGGCCTCATCCAGCAGGATGACAGGCAGAGATATCTGGAGCACCACCACCCACTGGCGCCCACTCAGTGGGGTCACCTGGAAAATGAGCTGTGGGGGAGGTTTGGTTAAAGGAAGGGCTGTCCAGTGCCCTGCAGTCCACCGGCTTCATCCACCCAGGCTACAAGGGACTCTCTATAAGGATGTCCAGGACTCCCCCTGAGGTCCCACCTCTGGATCTCTGTTTCCCCCTTTTCTCTGCCTGAAATGCCCTCCCCAGCGCATACCCATAGAACCAGATCCCATTGGTCCTGCTGGGAAGTGGGAGAGATTTCGCACCAGGTAAGAGAGCAGTCTTTCCTCCAGCCCCAGCCTTGAGAGATTCCCCACCTCTTCTGTTCCCCATGTCTGGGGGCTCCTGAAGTGGGGACACATCTGGAGGATGGTGGCTTGTCATGGTCCGAGCGCAGGCCCCATGCGGTGAACATCTCAGCCTTCCCCCTTCCCAGACCTCCAGGGGTTCCCACTGCAAAGGGGCCCAGAAAGGCCCAGCCACCAGCCCTGGGCTGTGTATCAGGGGACTGGGACCTTGTCACCCCAGGAGCTAGAGAAGGGGAGTAGGGCGGGGCTCTGACTCACGGGCAGGGGCGGCAGGAGCAGGATGAGGAAGTGCAGGGCCATGGACATGAGCACAGCTGCCAGCAGCCAGGGGTTCAGCCAGGGCGGCATCCGCAGCAGCGACTGGTTCTCTGAGACGCTGCCAAGGACACAGGGTGCTCACCTTGGGTCAGGATGCAGGCAGGCTCTGCTGTGGGCACCCATCTACCACCCCCCCGTGTGGAGGTGCAGGGCGTGGCCGGAGCCTCAGCAGGTCCCTAAGGACTGGGGCACTTCTGGGAGGCCAGTGCAGCTGGAAGGGCTGTGTCACTGCTGCCCACTCAACCCTCAGAGGCCTGGCCCCCTTTCTCTGTCTCTCAAACCCAATCCTGGCCCCTCTATTTCTCCAGACCCCAATCTTGGCCTCCTTTGTCTCCTGGATCTCAATTGTGGCCCCCACTGACTCCTAGAACTCTCTCTGGACCCCTCTCTCGGACCCAGCCCTGGAATCCCTGACCCTCAGACCCCAGTCCTGGACCCCCCTAGCCCTCCTACTGCATACGGGACACCTCTAACCCCAATTCTGGGCCCTACTCTTAAGCCTCAGCCCCATGCCCTCACCCCCAGCTCCAGGCCCCTCTGCCCGGCTCACCTGTTGAGGGCGTTGCACATTTCAATGGTCACCAGCACAGACAAGGCCATGGTCGTGGGGTAGCGGGACTCGAAAACCTCGCAGTCAACGCCGGCAAAGAGCGGGTTGTCCTCAGAGCACTTCAGGAAGTTCCTCTGAGGGTACGTGGTGGGGTCAGGGAGAACAGCGGTCAGGAAGGCGCTGGTGTGTGGGAAGAAGGAAGCCTCACTCCACCCCGGGCCCACATCTGAGGACTCGAAACGACCGGTCAACGACGCGCTGCCACAGGGTGGGTGGAGGGAAGGGTGCTCGCCCAGGATGGGGGCAGGTGGCCAGCACTGTGCCAGGAAGAGGGGCAGGCTGCTCTGGGGCAGGGGTCGGGTGGGACAGAGAGAGCGGTTGGCATTAGGCTGGGAAGGATAGCACGGGGCCCTGGGGTCAGAGGGCAAGTCCGGGGGGGTGGTGCCCTGAGAACACTGAGTAAATAACCACGAAAACCAGTAGAATTACGCTTGAACAGAATTCACTTCTGGTGGGCAGAAGACGAGGGCTACACGGGCCCCACTCAGCACTATTCCATCAGCTTCCACTCATGCCTCCCTCCATTTCCACCACTGAAACTGGGCCCTGCCAGGCCGGCCTGTTGCTTTTGACACGAGCTAATGAACTGCCAGACACCATCTCCCTGCCTGCCTTCTTCGTAATCAACGGAAGCTCTCAGGGTGGGTGAGGAAGTGGCCGTCACCCCCGCAGCCACAGGGGAGTTTTCTTCCCACCCTGAAAGCTCGTTCACAGAATCTGCTGTGAGAAGACGCAGACCCGAGGCCACGCGTGAGAACTTGGCCCGTTCCTTTCCGCACCACGGGATGCGGGTGAACACGCGAGACCATTAAACAGCTCCGCTGTCCGTAACACAAATTTGTCCTCTGGAGTCTCATCTGAACTCAGAGATTTTTTTGAGCTAAGGGTTTAGAACCTGGGGCCACATGCTGTGAGAATAACCCTCGAAGAGAAACCTGTAAAATGACTGGCTGCCTAACGTCCATTTTTCCACAGAGCATAACCACAGGTGAGGTGACTCTACCAGCCAGAAAGGGCTGCTGGCAATTTCCCCTTCTTTCATGCAGGATGAAAAATTATAAAAGACTGTATATGGCCTGGCTGGATTTTTTAGTTTAATAAAAAGATGGAAAGCGTTACGTAAATCAACAGCAGGATTTTCTCCAAAGAGCAAGCTCTAGGATTTGAGACAAGTGCATGTTTTTATTTGGTGCTGACCATGAACTTTGAACCCACCCAGTGGCCAAGAGGACCAAATGCTCCGGCCAGATTGTAGCGGCCTGTGTGTACATGTACACACACACGCAGTGCGCACCTCCCACTGGGCACATGCATGCTCAGATCCTTCTGCACGTGCACAGGGAAGAAATCTGAACAGCATCACATGGAGATGTTTCAATAGATCTATTGCTCTTGCCATAAACACCCTGCCCTGGTCAGACCTTCTGGGTTCCACCAGTGAGCACCTGCCACACATGCATTATACCCAGGTCATAGGTCACGGTGAGGCCTCCCGACTTGTTTTATTAGAAGGTGCTCAGGACTGCAACTCTGTCTCATTGGTCACGGGGAGCCCCTGTGGAAGTGGTTGCCTCTTTCTTTGGGTGAAGCCACTGCTCTGCCTACTCCTTCCCTCTGTCTCCCTGGCTATTTCCCATTTACCTTCTCCTGTAAGGCCCCTCTGGGTTTCACGAACTCAATCAACACTTACATATCTTTTGCTATGTGCCCTGTGGGTTTAAACACTTTACAAGTAGTGACTCAGTTAATCCTCTCCATAGTGCTATGAGATAAGGACTGTTATCCATTTTACTGATGAGGATACCAACAGAGAGGTTGAATAGCCTGTCCAAAGTCACACAGCTAGCATGTGGTAGAACCAGGGGGTGAACCTGGGCTGGATCCAGGCTTCGTGCTCTGTGCTCTGAACCACGGTGCTGCTCTTTGGCAGCTTATTCCAGGAACCATGGGGCTCTGGGCTCCTCTCTAGAAACCCCAACAACTACAGCTGAAAGTTCTACCTTAGGTCTAACCCTTGACCACCTTTGAGTCCCACAGCCACCTGGCTTTTCTCTGCTGAAGTGATTCCCACCTCGAAATGTGACTGTCCATTTCCATGGCTCTCATCAGGCTACAGCTCTTTGCAGGGACTCCACCTGCTCCGTCACTGCCGTAGCCCTAGTAATCTGTGCCTGGCACAGTCAGTGCCTAGCAGCCATTACTTGACCAAGTGGATAAATGAGAAATGGGATGACTGGAGGACCATTGCGAAGGTGGCACCAAGGGGACTAGAGATTGACTGGTAGTATGTGCCTGGCTTGGGTGACAGGCTGGCAGTGAAACTGAGATGGGGATGGAAGAGAGAGATTGTTTGGGGGAAAGGAGATAGACTTGATTTTGGACTTGGTGAGTGTAATGGGTCTGCAGGATATCCCAGAGGGGAGAGCCAACTGGATATATGGGACTGGGGTCAGAAGGTCCTTGGAGATTTGGAATCTGCAGTATAAAGTATAAAGGAAGGTAATAAAGATGGGGCTGGAAGAAGGTAGCCGAGGGATGGTCAGCACAGCCCCATCTCCACCCTGCTGCTCCCACTGGTGTTGAATTAGCTGAGGTGCCTGAGGCTGGCCTGAGCATCTGCTGAGGGCTGGGAGCACCAGCCTCTGGGGTGAGAGCCAGGCCTATGCCCTCCATGAGCTTGAGGGCTGGTAGGTGCCAAGGAAAGCGTCCCTGGACAGCCTCAGCCTAGATTTGAACATTGTAGAATCCCTGAAATCAGATGCTCCCGGGGGGAGGTGGCCAGTGATGGTAACCCAGCCTTCACACTGCCCTCAGGGCAGTGCCCTGACTCTCCCAGGGATGGGGCAGGAAGTCAGGGTCTTCCTGAGAGTTCTTCTATCTGTATAGGAAAGTAGCAAACACAGAAGAAAATCCTGCATCCCTGCAGCTCTCAGTTTTAAATGACAAACCCACAACTGGCTTTGCAGAACCACCGAGAAGGCTCATGTAAGCAAAGGAGATATACTGGCCGCTCAGACAGAGGGACAGACTGACAGACAGATGCTGAGAGGTCTCCTTGCTCGCTTCCAGAGCTGTGCTGAGCTGACAGCCCCATGGAGGGCACCTGCCAGCCAGGTGACTTCAAGAGGTCAATGGGTCCCTTCCCCGAGAAACATGCTGGTTATGGGGGTTGGGGGGAGCCGGGCAGATTCCTGATTTCCTCAGTTTGACCCTCTGCCTGAAGTTCCACCATTTAGGGGCTCATCTTTCTGAGCCTTCAATGTTTAAGGGGTTCCTCAATAAAGGTAGGACACTTGTGGGCAGTTACGCCCCTTGGTCCCCACTAACTAAATGACTGGGGGAGGGAGTGGCCTCTTGTCTGGCTCGGGGGCCCCGCTGCTCTCTCTAGGTTTCCCGTGGCTTCTAGTGTGGCTGCTCAGGTGGTGAATGCCTCTATGTGTGAATGGGGGTGGGGAGGGATAGCCGTGGGCCAACCACAGGGTTAACTCCAACCTGGCTGTGAGGTCCACCTCAGAAATAACCCCAACAGGCTCCCTGGCTGCCCCTCGCTTACCAGTTGGTAGAAGGTGATGTGAGGTCCTTCAGCATCATACAGGAACCACCAGGTGGCGGCAGCCACTGTGGCCAGTCCAACGTACACTGCAGGGAGAACAGGAGGAAACCAGCTATAATGGACAACTGCGGTTTTCTGGCAAATATTCCCCCTTCCTAATAATTCCCGGAATTTCTGTCAGGGAACCACCCTCCCCCTCTCTAGGCCACATGTGCCAGTGGTGGGTCCTGACTGGCAATCAGCATGTCACACCCCTGGCCACAGTGACTGGCTAAGAGATAAGTAGGTAACCCAATGTGGGCCAATGAGGACAGGCCTGAGACTTTTATCATACTACTGAGGGAGTAGTATGGTAACAGGCCCTTTCTTCTGTTGAATTTGGGGTTGTAATGGAATAAGCAAGACGGCCGGAGCTGCAGCAGCCACTCTGCCATCACAAGAGGCACCCGCCTGAGAGTGGAGCTGAGGCAGAGCCAAAATATGCCAGTGCTACTACCTGCGGCTTGGATCCAGCCATGCCTGAAGCATGCTCTAGTCTTTTCAGTTGGATGAACCCACACAGTTTCTTTTGGCACAAGCCAGTCTGAGTCATACTGTCTGCAGTCTGCAAGCCTAACTGATACAGGGTCTTAGGAAACTCCTGGAACCCCAGTGATGACTGGGATCCCCTGCTTACCTCCAATAGCCAGATATCGAAAGAAGAGCCAACCACTGATGAGGGCCTCTCGAGGGTTCCGGGGCAGCTTCTCCATGATGTCCAGGTCTGGAGGGTTGAAGCCCAGGGCTGTGGCAGGTAGGCCATCCGTCACCAGGTTCACCCAGAGCAGCTGCACAGGGATGAGGGCTTCAGGCAGGCCCAGAATTGCCGTGAGGAAGATGCTGGAACCAGAGTCATAGGCTCTAGCCCCCGCTAATGGAAGGCTCAGCTCCTGCTCTCCTCAGCAGCCTCGCCTCACCCTGCTAGTTCTGACGTGTGTGAACAAGTGAGAGGTGTGTGTACACAGCTCTGCCTCACGCTGGGCACCCTGCCTCCTCCAGTCCCAGCTCCGGAGTTTGGACCCATCTGCTGTTTAGGACATGGTCCTCTTCAGGGCACGCACTGGACAGTGCATGCCCAAGCATATATACATTTGTTCACAGACATGAGCAAAGATCCAGCACAGGCCACATAATCAGACAAACACAAGCAAACACCTATGCACTTGCCCCACATGCAGAGATGCAACAATTTATGTGTTCGGGCAAACATGTGTTCGCCATTTCCCACAATCATCACTCACAGCGAACCTAAGTGTGTACACACCTACACAAATCCCTGTGCTTGCATGCCCCCAAAGATGCAACAGAACACATGTGCACACACATACACACACTTCTCACTGAGGCACACACACCTTGTGCACACACAACTGTGTGCACACTACATGGACACACACAAACACATTACTGCCCAAAGGTGGGGCCTGTCCTCCTATCTTGCATGACTGAAAGTGGGAAGGTTAGGGCTGGAGGGATGACACAGGGCTTTTCAGGAACCTCCTTGGGGGCTGGGGTACACCAGGGCCTTGAGAATGACAAGGTGTCCCCTTACTGGTCAGCCTGAGGTGGGACCCTATAAGGCCTCAGCCAGGGCAAGTCATATGTCCCTCCATCCCTGCAGCCCATCCCAGGAACAGGTGTTTCCCTGGTCTCAGGGATGCAGAGCTGGCGTGGAGGGCTGGGAAGAGGGAGCGCAGGGCCTCACCAGACGACCTCGCCGACATTGGAGGAGATGAGGTAGCGGATGAATTGCTTCATGTTGCTGTAGATGGCCCGGCCTTCCTCCACTGCAGCCACAATGGAGGCAAAGTTGTCATCTGACAGTACCATCTCTGCTGCCGACTTGGCCACAGCTGTGCCGGAGCCCATGGCAATGCCGATTTCTGCTTTCTTCAGGGCTGGGGCGTCGTTCACCCCATCTCCAGTCTGGAGGCCAGGTTAGGTGGGTTCACACCTGAGAAAGTTCCCTCTACCTCCCCAACTCCCCTCAATTCAGCCTATCCCCAAGCTTAGGGGATGTCCCCAAGGAAGCAGACAGCTGGACAGAACAGATGGTGAGGTCACGAGCTTAGAAACTGGGCCAAGAATGAGGCTTGAAGGGAAGGCAAGGAGTGCAGGCGAGGACACGGTTGGGGCGCAGATCAGGCCCAAGGTCAGAGGAAATGGTGAGGTGGGGATGGGCATGAGGGTGGGGCAACAATGAGGGCGGGATAAAATTTAGTTTGGATGGAGGGTAGAAGATAAAGGTGACGTTAAGGACAAAGTTAAGGTTGAGTCAGGAATGAGGTCAAGGTTCTGGCCCAGGTCAAGGACCAGGTAAGTGAAAGTTGGAGCCAAGGTAAAGGTCAGGGTCAAGACTGGACTCAGTCAGGCTCAAGATTAAAAATTAGATTAAGGTAGAGGTCAAGTCAAAGTCAAAGGCCAAATCAAGGCTATGGTCCATATCAGGAGTGATGTCATGGTCAAAGCTGGAGTTCAGTCAAAGTCAAGATTGGAAGCCAGATCAAAGTTGAGGTTAACATAAAGTGCTGGGTTGGGGAAATCAAGATCAATGTCAGGGATCAGGTCAAGGTCCAAGTCAAAACTAGAGCCCATAATCAGGGTTGAACTAAAAGTAAAGAATCAGATTAAGATGGTCAAGGTCAAGGACCTTCTTTGTGAAGGTCAAAAATAAGGTCAAGGCTAAGGTTTCAAGTAATCAAGTCAAGGCTGGTTCCCAGTTCATTATCCAGGTCCAGGCTGAGCCACAGGTCAGGATTAAGGTGAAGATGAAGGACTGGGTTAGGCTGGAGATCAAAATTAATAACAGAGGCCAGGTCAGGGTGAGGTCTAGGTCGAAAGTGAGATCAGTGTTGATGACTAGGTCAGCAATCAAGAATGAGACCGAACAAAAACTGGGCCCAAACCAAATGTCCATCCACAGAATGAAAAAACTGTGGCACACGCGCACAATGGAATGCTATTCAACAATTAAAAAAGCAATCATTTAGTGGTACCCGCAGCAACATGGATAAATCGCAACAGAAAGAAGCCAGGCACAAAGGCGTACCTACTGTATGATTCCATTCATAGGAAAATCTAGGACAGGCAAAACTTTTTCCAACCAAAGGGTGGAAAAAATCAGCACAGTGGTTACCTGTTGTGGGAGAGGGGACTGAGGGGCAGGAGCATGAGAAAAATTCATGGGTTGATGGCAATGCTCCTTATCTTGATAAGGGTTTAGATGACACAGGTGTGTCATCTGTGAGAACTCCTCAAATGAATGGCATGCTTAAAATTTTGTGCATTTCGTTGCATGCAAGTTTTACCTTAAAAAAGAAAAAACAGAACCACAAACGCTGCTCTCTAAAGTATGCATTCTAAAGTATGTGAGGGCGAAGTGTACCAATGTCTACAACTTTCAGATACATTTAAGAAAAGATGGATTAAGGATGGACAGGTGGATAGGTATGTATACGATAAAGCAATGGTAACAAAATGTTATTTGTAGAATCTAGATGGTGGGTATATAGGCTCTCACTGTAAAATTACTTCAATTTCTCTTTGTGGTTGAGATTTTTTCTAACAAAATGTTGGAAAAAATAAGAATGAAGCAGAGGCAGGGGTTCACGGTTGCTCTTTCCAAGCCCTGTGGGAGCGCTCCCCCCACTCCTCACCACCTCCCCCAAGCTCCTGTCTTGTGGCCTCACCATGGCAGTGATCTCGTTAAAGGACTGTAAATACTCCACGATGCGGGACTTGTGTGCAGGTTCCACTCGGGCAAAGCAGCGGGCTGTGCGACAGGCGTGGCGCTGCTGCTCGGGGCTGAGGTCATCGAATTCGCGGCCTGTGTAGGCCTTGCCCACCACGTCCTCTGTGTCCTTGAAGATGCCAAGCCGACGGCAGATCGCCACAGCCGTGCCTTTGTTGTCCCCGGTGATCATGACCACACGGATGCCTGCCTGGTAGCAGCGTTTGATGCAGGCAGCCACCTCAGGCCTCGGAGGGTCCAGCATACCCACGCAGCCCACGAAAGTCAGGTCCGTCTGTAGGGAGGGAGTAGGTGCCAATGGGGCCTAGGCCCATGATCAGCTTGCCACTCACCCAGCTGCTGCAGGTAGACACATGCTCCGGCCCTGGGCCTGCCTGGCACCCACCTCATACTGTACAAACTTGCTGCAGTCATCCAGCTGCATGTCTTCCCTCCTCGGGGGCGCGTCCCGGGTGGCCAGTGCCAGGCAGCGCAGCGTGTCCGAGCCTGAGCCCCAGTCCCGAATCTTGGCTAGGATCTGCTCCCTGGAGGTGGTGTTCAGAGGCACTGTGCGGCTCCCTACTCGGACTGAGGTGCACCGTTCGATCACACTCTCAGGAGCCCCCTGCAGCATTTGGGAGGGGGCAACTCCATCAGTCAGGACCCCTCCCCTCCCTCCTGACCAGTTGAGGAAATTGAGGCCCAGATATGGGGAAAGGCCACCCAAGGGATGCACAGCAAGGCAAGGACTAGAATCCATCCTTTGAAAGCTCGGAGTGGAAACCAAGTGGGCCCCACTGTGAGAAAACCCAATGGGAATGGGGGGCGGGTCATGGCCGCCAGGGTGATGAGAAGACTGCTGCAGCATTTTAGGGGTGGTTCTAGGGTGGCAGCCCTCTTACAGCCCTGCCTCCCTGCCAGCCTGGTGCTACTGGGATCCCAATTCTGTAGCGGGCTCAGCAGGAGGCAGGCTGGGCCCTGCCTGGGCATCAGAAATAGAGCCATGCTGAGTGTGTGGTGGGTGTGGCTCTGGGAAGGTGGTCTTGGGGGTGGTAGGCTCCTCAGTGACCTTGAGATTTCACCTCGGACCTCACCCCATGCCTGGGAATAGCCTCTGAACACTCCATCAGTGCCTCTCTCTTTCCCCAACAGGCATTGCCACGCTTTCAAAGCAGCCCAAGCTCCCCATTCAGAAGCCTTTCATTTTAAAAGGGGCTAAAGTCACCACTGTGGGGAGAAGTCAGGGCTCTGATTTCCTACTTCAGGTTCCAAAGCAGCCCCAGGAGGTGCTGTGGGTAGAGGTCTGGGGATGGGGATGATTCCTTCCCTCTCTGGGGAAGACAGGCACCAACCATCTCAACACCCCCCGTCGGAGGCAAAGGGCTTTCGACCCCTTCCAACCTACCCCTGCTATTCAGATGGGGAGACCGAGGGCCTCAGAGGAGCACGGGTGACCCCTGGGGTAATGTGGCGAGGCAGTGCCTCTTGGCCCAGAACTGGGACATGGCAAGGGGCAGGCCTCAGCTCCTGTCCCCGGCTTTATGTCCCCCAAGTCTGGAGCCTGCTCTCAGTCGCCCAGGCAGGCTGGCCACCCTCGTCCCGGATTCACTGATTTGACAGTGGGCCTCACACCGCCCTTCGTCTCCCACAGCTGCAGCCTGTGACTCTTTAGAGGACTGGAAGCCAGGTACACAGGGGACCCCAGGGATACAGAGGCCCCAGGCCAGGCAGGCAGGTCCCACCTTCACAAACATCTTGCTGCCCTGGGCCGCCAGGCCGGGGCGGGTAGGCGTGCAGTACACCGACATCGACTTGCGGTCCCGGGAGAACTCCAGGGTGAACTCCTTCCGCATCAGCTGACTGATGACCTGTGGGGACCAGGCTGGTCAGGGCGTGAGGGGCAGAGCAGTGACTCTCCCTGCTTTCTCACCAGCCACTCAGCCCCATAGAGAGCCTCTTGCTATGGTGGGATGGTGTCTTTCCCCCTCTGACCCTGCCGTTTGCGGCCTCCAACTCCCTCTCCAGCCCCAGAAATGCCAAAAAGTTGCCAATTCCTCACCATGCTGTGCATTTCCCAACTCCAAGTCTTTGACAACACTCAGTCTTTTCCTCTTTTCTTCCTAGCCAACCAAGTATTACTAGGGTCTGAGCTCCTTCCTTCTCCCAGAGGCCTCCTAAGACTTTGTTCTTCTCGCTCCCTTTTCTGGATGCCCCAGAAGGTCCAGCCATGTGACCTGTGGCCCAAGCACCATGAGCCTGCTCACCGCGTTGCAGGCGCCGGCACGTTCCACTTGGGATAGGACCTGCAGGTTGGTGTCGAACACGTTCATCTTCTCCACCAGGCAAGTCAGGGCCGTCTCTGTGGCTTCTCCCACCTTCTCATACACGCCCTTGGCCTAGTGGGGCCCAGGGTACACAGAGTAAGGGGAAGAGTCTCACGTGTCCCTTGCCTCCACCACCTTTCATGTGCTCATGAATGCCTCCCGGAGCCCCGCCAGCCGAGACCTCGCTCCTGAGTTCCAAGCCCACCTGTCCAATTGCTGCCTGTTGGACTTTGTTCTTTGGGGACCCGCAGGACACCTCCTCTCCCTATATTTGCCACTTTAGTGACAGTCCCAGCCAGGAGAGCAACCAGAAGCTCTACCCTCTTTTTCATCCAGCCAGTTGCCAAGTCCCAGGATTTTGGCTCCTAAGCTTCTCTCCGACCTATGCTTTCTCCCATCTTCCTGAGGCCCTAGCCAGCATCTCTCTGGCCTGGTTGACCACATACCAGGCTCCGGCTCCCTGGCTCCGGTTCTGCCCTGTCTGTCCTGTCCTCCATACAGACGCCTGGGTGGTACTTGCACATGTAAATCCGACCATATCACTCCCTCGTTTAAAACTCTCAGTGGCTATCTACTGGCCTCAGCCTGGCATGGGGCCTGACTTGGTTATGACCACGTTCTTCCCCTCAGACAGGAGCAGCCTCCTGCATGCTCCACGCCACTGCTCCAGCCACAGGGGAGAGCATTCAATGCCTCAATCACATCAGGCTGTTATGGTCTGTTGGCCTTTTCTGGGCTGTGCCTTCTGCTTTAAACACCTCCCTAGTCCTGCTCCTCAAGGCACCCCTGGCCCTTCAGCCCGTTACATTACAGTTCCCCACTGTCCAAGAGCCCAGGGCAAGTTTCCAAATCCAGTCGGGAAAGAGGGCAGTGGTGTTGGGGGGTGGCAGTGCTCCTGGGGTGTGGCACTCCAGAAGGGCAGGTACCACTACTCCTAGGAGCTCTGAGACTCTGGGAAAAGGGTTTGTCCTGGGGGCTTGGATACCAGGGGGATCATAGAAGGGAATAGGGACCCACCTCGTTGTAGTCCAGTGCGGAGTCGTTGCACAGGGCACAGATGGTCGCCAGCTCCACCAGCCCATCGAACTGCCCGCAGCGCACAGGCTGCTCTCCCTGCAGCCTGAGGAGCCAGGCGGTCAGTACGAGGGCCTTGGCCCCGCCCTTGGGGTGTGCCCAGGCTTTGGGCCCCGCCCCCAGGAGGCCTGGCCCATCGACCGCTCTCAGAGCCATCCTGCGTAGCCCTGGCCACCAGGAAACCCCGCCCACCCATGCCCCTAGCCCAGCACTCACACTTCGCCCTCTGGGGCGTAGGTGGTACCCGAGATGGTGAACTCGTGCAAACGGCACGCACCGGCTTCTGCCTCGGCTACCACGAACATCTGGGGATGGGGAGCACAACGGCATGAGGGGACGGCCCTCACCTCCCTCCTCCCCAGGGCAGCCAGTCTGAATAAAGCCTGGCCCCAGGTTGGGGTCCCGTGGGTCCCCACTGGAGCCAAGGGCCTTCCCTCCCACAGGCTCACAAAGGTGCAATGTAAGAGTACATAGTCCAGGTTGAGGCAGGGCCCCTCTGCTCTGCCCTGGTGTGTCCAATTCGGATTTGTCCGTTTGCTCTAGACCCCGGAGTGGTTATAGGAGACTCTTCAGTGTTCTGGGGCGGCTCTGAGCTTGACAGAGCCCTGTCCTGAGGCAGTAAGCCTGAGCCCTTCCCCATCTTGCAGTGTGACCTCTGGCTGAGCACCTGAGCCTGTTTCTCCACCGGTAACTTGGAAAGAAAGTGGGATCAGCGTCCAGCTGCCCCTCTTTTCCCTTCAAGGAGATGAGTTCCTGGACTCCAAGGGAGGAAATCCACACACCCTGTTCTGGGGCACAGACCCCTCTTGCCCAAAGGTGTCCAAAACAGTGAGCTCCCACCCGCAGGGCCTATTGGGTCACCCAGCCCCTACCTGTGCATCTCACAGATGAGGGATCTCCCCTCCCAGGGCAGCCTGTTTCCTGTCTGTCAGCCAGCTCTGCCAGGGAGATGGTTCTTGCTTCCTGGAAACTGCCTCACTGCACATTCCCACCCATTGGCCAGCCCAGCACCCATCAGGTGCTCAATAAATGTCCCTTCCTTTGCACTCTCCTCCCTGCTCCTGGGGGCTGCCCTCCAGCCAGCACAGCCCCTAAGAAGTCAGGATTCTCAGCCCATCATCCAGCACGTAAGACTTCTACAATGTCCCTGTACTGTGCTTTTCAGTCAAGGACCACTGTTCAAATGAAGTCCTACCAGGGATTTTAGTAGGTCAGGGGCTGCGAAGCAGTCAAGCCCCTGGTGCCCTCTCCCCTATGGCAGCCTACGATGGGTTTCAGTAAGGCTTTAAGGTCTCAGATACAGAGCCCAGTGGGGAGATTGTGGGAGCAGGGTTGGGAAATCCACAACCTTCACCATCACCTTACCCGCCCCTCTGCCCTATGGGCCTGATAGAGTCTCAGCCAGAATCCCTGGAGCACGTGGGTAGCAGGCCCAGGATCTAGGATCAAGTACCAGGGAATGAATAATTCCTGCCTTGGCTCTCCCCAGGTCACTGGAGCTGGCGTATCTGATGACAGGTGTGGAGCACAGAGAGTCGTGGTAGAGCGGGATAGAACCTGGGTCCAACCCCAGCATGGCTCAGATGCCTAGGGCTGTACTTGACCCTCTCCTGAGTCCTTTATGGTTACTGGGCAGAGCTTACATTCCAAACTTCAGATGAGGAAACTGAGGTTGACAGGTGGGCAATAACCTTCCAGAGCTCTACAGTGACCCAAAGGTCCTAGTGACACATGCCTAGCCAGATTTTGCTCCTCTGCCCCATGAAAACCTGAATCTGTCCCCCACCATGGGGCATCCTACAGGTTCTCTTCTCCATCCCCAGCCAAAAGGAGCCAGGGAAAGACCCAGAGAAGGAGCCCAGGCTGCCGAGCAACACACAGCAACACCAAGCTGGCTATGGACACTCACCCGGCAGACAGACATCTGATTGGTGGTGAGAGTGCCTGTCTTGTCGGAGCAGATGACCGAGGTGCAGCCCAGGGTCTCCACAGAGGGCAGACTTCGTACAATGGCGTTCTTGCGGGCCATGCGCCGTGTGCCCAGCGCCAAGCATGTAGTGATGACAGCTGGGAGGCCCTCGGGGATGGCGGCCACAGCCAGGGCCACCGCAATCTTGAAGTAGTACACGGCTCCTCGGAGCCAGGAGCCGCCGTGTGCTGGGTCGGCAAAGTGGCCAATGTTGATGACCCACACGGCCACGCAGATCACGGAGATGGCACGGGACAGCTGTCGCCCAAACTCATCCAGTTTCTGCTGCAACGGCGTCCGCTCTGGCTCCACAGCCGCCATCTGGCTCCGGATCTTACCCAGCTCCGTGTTCAGGCCTGTGGCCACTGCCACACCCACTGCCTTCCCAGATGCGATGTTGGTGCCCTGGCCGAGGGACAAGGGAAGAGCTGTTTAGCATCCCAGCAAGAGCCCAGGACCCTGACTCCTTCAGGCCAGGGTAGGGCTCTTATCTCCATTTGGCTCTCTTTCTCTCCATGCCACTTAGTGCTCCTGGACTTAGGCAGCTGTGTAGTATTGAGTTATTACTGTTATCCCCATGGTAGTGCCAGCTCTGTGAAGGCAGGGACTTTGTTCAGCGCCACACCCCCAGTACCTAGCACAGGGCCTGGCACAGAGGAAGCGCCAGGCCAACGTTGACAGTATAATCAACCAGCACAGCACAGCACCAACCCGTCACAACAATGCAGTCACGCAGGAATGTGACTGTGATCCCAGATAAACCATGGGTAAATATTTACTGAGGAATCCAGAAAACTTGACCTTAAGTCCATCCATTCCCAAGGCCTCAGTAAAGTCCTGGGCAGCCAGGACTTTAGGGCCAGTATTTAAGGGCCAGCCAGCCTTGAGCTGCCACATCCACTTCTGAAAAATGGTCCAACAGAGGCCCAGGGCACAGCTGCTCTGGGGACACTAATAGCTCAGCACCCCTTCAGAAAGGCGCACTGTGCTGAGGCTGGACAGAGGGTGGGTACTTGTGGCAGCCTCAGCTTCTCTTCTGCCCTGAGCAATGCAGTTCCCGCCCCCCACCTGCAGGCCCCTCAGCTAAGGAAATGACCTGCAGTTAGCTAGAGCATCCTCCTTAAAAAGCTCCTTAGCTGCTGACAGCTGCTGATTCCTGAGCAGGCCCCTAGGGTCCCCTCCCCACCCCAAGGCTTCCATGCATCTACACAGGGTGCTGTCCCCAGGAAGAGCCCTGGATGAATATCATTTTCTCCACATCTATTCACTTCCAGGGAGGTTCTCTAGCCCATTGGTGCCCTGGGCCAATGCCCACTGACCTGCGCCATCCTGTGGCTTCCGTGCTCGGCTTCAGGCTATTTCCGGGCAGCCTGTGAGTGTCACTAGTCAAGTCCCTCTGAAGCCCCAGGGGCAGATCACTCCCACCAGAGCTGAACCCATCACTCCCCCTGAGAAGAGCCAGGGGGGCCTGGCGTCGTGACTTGAGGGATGGTTTTCCCATTGGAGAAATGGACTATTCCTGTCATCCTCGACCACTTTAGCGACCCTCTTCCTGCTAGAAGATTCTCTGTTGAGTGACTATAAGCAAACTCTACCCCTCTCCAGATTAAGGCAGGATAAGCCTAGCAGGTAAGAGGAAAAGCTCTGGAATCAGAATGTCTAAAGCCACATCCCAGCTCTGCCATTCACCAGCTGTGTAACCTTAGGCTACTTACTTAACATCTCTGTGCCTGTCTCCTTACTAGAAAATGTAGATAACGAAGGTGTTGTGATGGTTAAATAAATTAATATAGTCACAGCCTTCAGTAAACACAAGCTATCATTTTACTATAAATTTGTATGTATTGCCAATAATTGATGATGTTCATTCCTGTAGGGCTTTAACTGACTCATCTAAGGCCCAAGGACTTACAGAAAACAGCAGGTTCTTCTTGTCCTGGTTCACAGCTCTGGGATCTGGGATGGCATCTGTGTGCTTGGTCACGGACACGGATTCACCTGGTCATGGGATCAGAAATAAGAAGCCCCAGTGAAGACACCCCCATCCCCTGACCCAGCCCCCACTCAGCCCAGCCTCGGGCCTCACCTGTCAGGATGGACTGGTCCACTCTCAGCGTGGTGGACTTGATCTCAACGAGGCGGAGATCAGCAGGCACTTTGTCTCCCACTGTGGAGAGAGTGGCTTGGCTGAGTGTGGCTTGGAGCACCGCCCCCCAGGTTCCTGAGAAAGCCAGAAAGGTTCCCAGGAACCAAAGCTGGGGCTGGGAGGCAGGGCCCTAAGCTGTGATGCCTCAGGTGGACCCTGGCCCCTGGCCCACGGTCTTATCTGTCCAACAGGGTTTGGGACAAAGAGCTTTGGAGAGATCTACGTATATAGCCAGAAAGATGGGGGTAGAGAGAGGGATGGGCTCACCAGCATCACATAGTGAAAGGATGAGACCCCCCAATGTACCTGCCACTTCCACGATGTCCCCAGGGACGATGTCCCGTGCACGGATCCTCTGCACACCACTTCGGCCAGAGCGGATCACCTTGCCCATCTCAGGTTCATACTCCTTCAGAGCCTCAATGGCACTCTCGGCGTTGCGTTCCTGCAGAACACAAGGCAGGCAGCCGTCTGTCCCTGCTGGCCCCAGCAGGCCACCCTTTTGGAGTGACATTCTTGGGGGTTGGGATGGAGCTGGAAGGAGAAGGACCTGCGGGACTCTAGCACCAGGTAGAGGTCACCCCCGGCAGCCCAGCCCCAGCCCCATGTCTCCCACCTGCCACACGCCCACGACTGCATTGGCCACAAGGATCAGCATAATGACCAGGGGCTCCACGAAGGCTGTCATGGTCTCCTCGCCCTCCTCGAAGCAGGCCAGGACCTGCCGGGATCAAAGCTGGTGACTTTGGGCCATGCTGTGGGCCAGGGTCTGCTCACACTTCTTTTGTACCCTGGGTATTCTGTCTGCTCTCCTGCTTTCGGGGAAGATGCCCCTGGGAAGCCCTGGGCTTGGAGAGGGCTAATCTGAGAAGGCCTGTGGCTTAGGACACCCAGCCTCTGCAGGTAGCGACCACCACAGCGCAAGTCCCACCCGCCAACTTTCAGGGACATGGGGCAGTTGTACAGCTGACAGCTGCCGGGCTGTGGCTTTCCACGTATGGAGCCCATACCAGCAGAAGCAGCAGCACCTGGGAACTTGCTAGAAATGCAATTCTTGGGGTCCATCCCAGACCTCCTGAGTCAGAAACTCCAGGGTGGGCCCAGCAGTCTGTTTTAACGAGCCCAGTTGATCTCGCTAGAGGCTCACCCTCAAAGTCTGGTGGCCAGAGAAACATGATTCCAGCCAGAGCCCAGGCCTGAAGGCAGGAGGCGCAGCTCAAGTCTCGTTCCCACCTCTTGGTCTAACTGGGTACTTGTCACTACCCTCCACTGCCTCAGTGTGTCCAAATGTACCAGCACCCTCTCGGCTCAGTCATTTTAGGATAGACTTTTTTCTCTGTAAGAGTCCTCAGTTTCCAGAAGGACAGTAAGTGACCTGGAGGGCCAGACAGCTGGCCGGAGGGAAAGAGTTGGTCCCACCCAGGGCCCTGCTGCCACTCCAGTCCAAGTCACCCAGATGAGGTCTCCCCCTCGGGTGGGAGCAGGGGTCCTGTCCACCCTCAGGGCAGCCATTACCTGCATTACCCTTGGGTCTCTGCTACTTGGTCCCGGATGACAACCGCTGTCTCCCTCCCACCACTCCACCCTGGCCCCATGGCCCTGTGGGTCCAGGAGGGGTCTGGGCAGCAGGAATGGGGCAAAAGGAGGCTGCATGAGGTTAAGGCCTGACGTCTTCTGAGGGGCATAGGGAGCCACAGAAGGGGCTCTCAACCAGGGTGATTTTGTTTCCTGGGGACATGTGGCAACTTCTGGAGACTTGCGTGTCACAACTGGGGGTGCCACTGGATCTGGTGGGTGGAGGCCAAGTATGCTGCTTAATACTCTATGGTGCATAAGAGTATTAAAGAATCATCTAGTCCAAAACAAAGAATCATCTAGTCCAAAATGTCAGTAGTGCTGAGGTTGAGAAGCCCTGTGCTAAAACAGGAAGGGGCAGGGTCGATGCTCTGACAGTCAGGGTGGGACAGATGGGATTGGGGTGCAGGGGGGGGGCTGAGAGTGTACACAGGGAAGCTGACATCTGAGCAGGGCAGGGGTAGGCAGAGGCCCAGGGATGCCAATAGCTGAGAGGACAGTCCTGTATCCAGAGCCTGGGCTCTGAACACTGCCCCGACCTGGCTTCCCTCTCCCACTGCTGCCTGATGCCTTGGGAAGGGGCCCCACTTACAAAGGAGACGAGGGCGGCCAGCAGCAGGATGCGCACCAGAAGGTCCTCGAACTGCTCCAGCACCAGCTCCCATAGGGACTTCCCTGGGAACAGGAACGCGGTGTGAGGCCGGGGCCCCTGACCAGCTGGCCTGCCCACAGTCAGAGCTGGGACAGCCTCGGAGACCACCTGGCCTACCCCCTCCCTGCCATTCAAAGAGGGAGAGCCCAAGGCCTGAGAGGCACTGGTGGGTGATGCTCAGGGGCTCAGTAGGGTTGCGCTCTGTCAGGGAGGGGAGGACACAACGTGACAGTGAATGGCCCAAGATCATCACCCAGTGGACTTGCAGCCGGCCCTGGCACAAGACTCACCTTCCTCGGTCGGGAGCTCTGCGGGATCCAGCAGCGGTGGGATCCATGAGGAGATAAGAGAAGACTGGGTTACACAGTAGGGCCTTGGAGGTTCTGAGCAGCCCCTCCCACCGTGCCCACCTGGACCCCCACGGTAGTTTGGATAAAGCCCCACAGCTCTCCGAAGTCACAGAGTGGGTGGTCGAAGCCCAGATGCTCCCACCCTCACCCCACTCCCAGCCCACTCTGGTTGAGGAAGGCCTGGTGTGGCCTGGCTCACCTTAGGACAAGACCAGTGCCAAGAGAGCCCTTCCAGACCCTCCAGGCTAGCCCCTCCCCCACTGCACAGAGGGGAAACTGAGCTAACTGGGTAAGGGACCCCGCGGTCACACAGCTCCTTCTCAGATGGCTGCCCAGTCCTGTTCAATGCCCCCCACCCCTACCCCTCGAATTCTGAGCATGGGCTTGAGCTGCCCGATGCACCTGCTGCTCCAGGAGCACCAGGATGAGATCTGAGCCCCAGGCCACCCGGTGCTTCCCCTGGACACGGCCACAGCAGCCAGCATCCCAGGCGGTGAGGAGCCCCGCACGGTCAGCTCCCAGAGGCCCAGCCGGAGCCCTGCCCCCTCTTGTCCCTTGCTCCTCCGAGGACAGACTCCGGGCCAGCAGCACTGCCATCACTGGGGAGCTTGTTCAGGCTCTGAGGCCCCACCCCAGGCTGGCTCTCCCTTCCTCGTCACAGGTCCTTGCATTGTCCACCTTTTCTTGGCTTGCGTGCCCGCCAATCATCTTTCCCCGCGGTGGCTCTCTCCCGGGCCACCTGTTTGGAAGGTCTGGGGTCTGCACCTGGCAGCCGAACCACAGAGGGTATCCAGCAGCCCACTGGGCCGCAGGAATCCAGGAGGGAAACATATAACCTAAAAATACACTTTCTAGCATTTTCACCAAAGTCCTATTTTAGGCAACGGCTGACATTTTCCGTGGAAAATGTAATCTCCAGTGTCCTGCGTTGAGATTAAAATCAAACAGACTTTTTCCTTCTGATCTATTTAGCTGAAGGGAACAGGAAAGGCAGGGGGAGGGCTAGGCCTGATTTCTGGGCCAATCCTCCAATGGAGTAGGGTCCTTGAGAGGTCGTCTCTGCCATGCCCCAGCCTCAGCACAGAACAGTGCGAGCCTCAGGGCACACATGGGCCTGCTTCTGCTGTGCTCTACCCAGGAGACTCCTAAACCCTTCACCTCTGCGGGGATCTTCAGGGGTCCCGACCAAAGGGAGGTTACCTATAAGCCTTACCTGAACCCCTCCTGCTGTCTCCCTCTTCCCTCCCTCGGTCAGGCACACAGTGCCAAGGCCACTATATTCCTTAGGGTATTTTTTCCTGGGCTGGGACAAGGCCTGGGGTTGGGAAGCTAGTTCCCCTCAAGCCACCCTCTCCCCCACTCTCAAGTTCTTCCTCTACCCTTCCATGTGTCTCCCCTTCTGCTCTCTGACCCATGAGCTGACCCAGGACCCACTCTCTGGTGGTCATTATGCTGTTCCCCAAATACAGCAGGTCCTCAAATAACATTTTGTTCAATGTCGTTTGGTTATAATGTCGGTAAGATGCCACAGGAACTTAACCCGTTTCTATCGATAAGCCGACGGTAAAATTGATTTTGTTATATGTCATTTTGCCACAGTTTCAAGAACCTATAGACCTTAGGTGAGAACTTATGGTACTCCCACCTTGTAGGCACATAGTAGGACGCACTTCCCGGCCTCAGTGTGACTTGTGAAACGAAGGACCTGGGTTAGTTCCAGGCTGTCTCACTGAACTGCTGGTGAGACTCTGGAAGGTGCCGTCCAATAGAACTTGTGTAACGATGGAAGAGTCATAGAGTGCGCTGTCCCACACAGCAGCCACTAGCCACAGGGGGCTACTGAGCACTGGGAATGTGGCTACTGTGACTGAGTAGCTACATTTTAAATTGTACTTAATTTTCATTCATTTAAATTTAAACAGTCACATGAGGCTAGTGACTGGCTGTTGTATTGGACAGCACAGGTCAAGAGCTCTTTGTCCCTCTGCTACAGAAACCAGCAACCTGTGAGATGGTGTCTGGTCTGTGAACCTGAGTCACAGAGTGCGGGAGACACAGCACCCCCAAGTGACCTGCCATTGACATGCATATGAGTGAGTGAGAGAGGACCTCTATTGTTTAAAGGTGTTAAGCTGTAGGGGTTGTTATAGCAGCATAGCCTAGTTGATCCTGACTGACACCCCCTTCTCCCCAAACTTGGCTCCTACCACAAGGCTCCCCTTCCGCTCCCTCCCACTGTCCCTGGGCGGGGCTTAGCCAGCCATGAGGTCACAGCAGACAGCCTGCCCATCCTGCATGTGCATATACATGTGCTTCTGTCCTGCCTGAGCTGCTGGCTCCCCGTGGGGCTCTGAGCCTCATCTGTAAGATGGGGGGTCCACCCTACCCTGAAGGGCTGCTGTGAAGATTATCATTAATATGAATAAGAACCCCATTTACTGAGCACCTACTATGTACCAAGCAGTGTGCCAGGTGCTTTATCTCCATTATCTCCAAAGGTAAATGGGAGGGCACTGTGTGCTGAGCTCATGAGAAGGTGCTCGAGATAAATTACAGCAGAATTATTAATGCTGAGTGTGCCAGATGCCACACTAACTCCTCAGGTGCATTACTCTCCTGTGATTCCCAAACAACTGGAGAAGGAGCACACAATTATTATTCCCATTTTACAGAGTAGACAACTGGAGCCCAGAGAGGTTGGGTGACTAGTTCACGGTCACACAGCAGGGAAGTGGAAGTGGCACAAAGGGTTCTGAGCTCGGGCTGTCTGGCTCTCAACCCCCTGCTCAGAACCTGCCGCACTAACTCCTAGACTGTCTTGCCTTCCCACCCTCATCCCTCTGACTCCTCCAGCCAAGGTCACCTGAAAAAACGTGTCTCCATGTTCTGATTATTCGACTGGATGCTCTCACTCCATCAACTAGCTCATACCTCTACTGTGGCCACAGAGCCACCAGCCAAAACCATGCCCATCCAAAGGATCTGCTGTCCTCGCAGGGGGTACCAGCTCAGGCCTGGTCTGCTTCAAACTCCAATCCTGCCAAAACCCTAGATGGTCAATTCTCCTCTGGACTCAAGACTGAGTCCCAGGGCTATGGAGCACCCTCCCAGCCCTCCCCAGGCATCCCTGCAAGATACTGGTTCCCCCTTGCAATCCAACCAGGTGGCATGTAGGGGGGGAGGGCTGAGCCAATTCCCCTTGAAATGGTGGCATTGGGCCCTCGGCAGCACCAGATGCCCATTTGTGCCAACTGGAGCCCATACCGCCCACCTCAAGGTGCCATCCGCCAGCCTGCACAGACGAAGGCCGTAACTGGAGGTGCAGCTCCCTCCAGGTCCCGGCTGGGCCAGCCCGGGGGCATGCAGCCCCCATTGTTCTTCTGGAACAGTAGACCTCTGGACCTCTCACTAAAGGCCTCTCCCAGCTGATCTCTGCTCTGGGTCACTGTTGCCAGACTGAGCTGGCTCATGACCACAGATGCCTCATGTGGGGCTAGTCTTCGAGGAGTTGGGGGGTGGGGTGGGAGTTAGCTGTGGGTCCTGGAGGGGAAATAAGGATGTAGTCAGAGAAGCTTCGGGGTTAGAGCAAGGAGTCTGGTCCAGAGGGCTTGAGTTCAAATCCTGTTCTCTCTCTTGCTTGTTCTGTGACCCCCTGTGTGCCACAGTTTTCCCATCTGCAAAATGGGGATAATCATAATAACTACCTCATAAGGGCAGTGTGAAGATTAAATGGCATGCTATGCACAAAACGCTTAGAATATGCACAGCACGCAGTACACGCTCAGTAAACATTAGCCATAATAATAGTTATTAGAATGTAAGCTCCATGACAGTAGGACTTTATCAAGTGCAATGTCCCTAGCATCTGGAACAATGTGTAGGGGCTCAATAAAAATCTATACATGAATGAATGACCCTGTCTCTGACTGGCTTATAGGCCTTCAGTGGCTCTCCCTGGCCTGCAGAATAAAGACCCACCTTAGCATGGTCTTCAAGGTCTTCCTAGATCTGCCCCAGCCTGCCCTTCCAGAATCACTCCTGTATCTTAGACATACATCTATCCATCTGCCAGCCAACCAAGACGCCATAGGATTGCCACCAACTCCGCTTGTTTCCCCCGTCCAAGATTTTGCTGGGGCCATTCCTTCTGTGCAGGATACCCTTCCCCATCTCCTCATCTAAACCCCAGACTCCCAGGAAGGCTTCCAGGGGCAAAGCCCCCTCCCCTGATCACCCTGCCCTCACTAGTCATCAGTATGGGGGCCGTCCCATCTGACTGGAGAACCTTCAGGGAGGAGCTGAGTCACCCCTGCATCCACAGAGAGCTTTGCAGAATTGTTTGCTCAGTTGTCCACAGCCCAGAACTCGGGAGAAGGTGGTACAGGGCCAGGGCTGCCCCCAGGATCTGAGTACCACCTGCTCCCCTAATTTCCCCCTCTCGACTCCTTCCTTCTCACAACATTGGAAACTGGTATTTCAGCTTCTAAATGTCAGCTCCAGTGGGGAGAGGCTAGTGCTTACCAAGGTCTTCCTCAAAGGTAAATTTACAAAGCAATTAAATTGTCACTTGTAAAATAAAGGACAGGCCCTACCTGGGCAGCCCCGCCTAGTCCACCTGGCCCTGCCCAGGTCTCCAAGGCCCACCTAGAGTGGACAACCTGGCCCTG